AGGATAAAGCACTATGTGGGAATCTCTCTTTTTCATGGTCTAAACTGGAGGAGCAAAAGGGAAGAAGAGGAAATAGGAGATAGATCCCCACAGGACGAGGGGAGATATCCATATTCATCCATCCAGTCCTCACAGCTCAGAAGAGTTTTGGGAGGCCCCCCAGTGGAAGGAGAGCAGTATTACAGTCCACTCCAACAGCAATATTTTTTTTTATATATAAAGATCAAAATTGGGACATTTATATTATGTCCAGTTAAGGGCAATAAGTATATAGCCCCATTTGGAACTTTGGGCTGTATAAGTGAGGTGAGCACACATTATCACTTGCACAGCAAGACTAAAAAGAGGTCTTTTTTATTTTATTATTATTTTTTTTTTTATATTTTTTTTATATTTTTATATAATTTCTTATTTTTGTGTATTTTTTGAATTTGGCACATATATATTTTGTATTGCACATATATATCACCTCAAATGGTGGTTTCTTGTTTATCTAATTTTTATAATAATAATATCACGCATATGGAATTTGAATATATTTATTAGAGTTTTTTTCACATTATTATTAATTTATAAAATATTTAGCAATATTGCTTAATAATCAATTATAGCACAGGGGTGTTTTAATTTTAATTTATTTACATCATTATGGATTAATATTTATTTATTCATATTATTTATTATTAATTAGCACAGATGTGCATGAAATGCACGTTTGAAGGGGAGAATATTGCAAATATTTTAGTGTTTAGTAGATGGAACGCGACACATTTAATATTTTATTAGTTCATTTTCACACAGTATTATGAGTATGTGTATTTGTGTTGATGCACCATCACATTTTTAGGAGTCAGTTATTTATAAGTATTTTTCAAATATCACTATAGTAGCTCACAAGTACACATTATTATAATTTTATACCAGTTGTCATAGCTGATGTGGTTGTACTGTAATTTTTAGATCTTTTATATCACTAGAGGAATCACCAGCAAGAGGAAGGAGGTCCTGATTCCTTTATACAGATCTATATATCGTCCTCTACATAGATCTGTATATCACTAGGGGAGTCACCGGCAACAGGAAGGAGGTCCTGATTCCTCTATATAGATCTTTATATCACAAGAGGGGTCACCGGCAGGAGGAAGGAGGTCCTGATTCCTCTATATAGATCTTTATATCACAAGAGGGGTCACTGGCAGGAGGAAGGAGGTTGAGATTCCTCTATATCAGGGGTGGGCAACTGTGGCCCTCCAGTTGTTGGTGAACTACAAGTCCCATAATGCCTCTGCCTTTGGGAGTCATGCTTGTAACTGTCAGTTTTACAATGCCTCATGGGACTTCTACAACAGCTGGAGGGCCACAGTTGCCCACCCCTGCTCTATGTAGATCTTTATATCACTAGGGGGGTCACCGGCAGGAGGAAGGAGGTCCCGATTCCTCTATATAGATCTTTATATCACTAGAAGAGTCACCGGCAGGAGGAAGGAGGTCCTGATTCCTCTATATAGATCTTTTTATCATGTGAGGGGTCACTGGCAGGAGGAAGGAAGTCCTGACTCCTCTATATAGATCTTTAGATCACTAGAGGGGTCACCGGCAGGAGGAAGGAGGTCCTGATTCCCATATATAGATCTTTATATCACTAGAAGGATCCCTAGCAGGAGGAAGGGGGTCCTGATTCCCCTATATGGATCTTTATATCACTAGAGGGGTCACCGGCAGGAGGAATGAGGTCCCGATTTCAATATTTAGATCTTTATATCACTAGAGGGGTCGCCGGCGGGAGGAAGGAGGTCCTGATTCCTCTATATAGATCTTTATCTCACTAGAGGGGTCACCGGCAGGAGGAATGAGGTCCCTATTCCTATTTTAGATCTTTATATCACTAGAGGGGTCACCGACAGGAGGAAGGAGGTCCTGATTCCTCTATATAGATCTTTATATCAGTAGAGGGGTCACCAGCAGGAGGAAGGAGGTCCTGATTCCTCTATATAGATCTTTATATCACTAGAAGGGTCACCGGCAGGAGGAAGAAGGTCCCGATTCCTCTATATAGATCTTTATATCACTAGAGGGGTCACCGGCAGGAGGAAGGAGGTCCTGATTCCTATATATAGATCTTTATATCACTAGAAGGGTCACCAGCAGGAGGAAGGAGGTCCTGATTCCTCTATATCGATCTTTATATCAGTAGAGGGGTCACCAGCAAGAGGATGGAGGTCCTGTATTCCTCTATATAGATCTTTATATCACTAGAAGGGTCACCAGCAGGAGGAAGGAGGTCCTGATTCCTCTATATAGATCTTTATATCACTAGAGGGGTCACCGGCAGGAGGAAGGAGGTCCTGATTCCTCTATATAGATCTTTATATCACTAGAGGGGTCCTGTGCAGGAGGAAGGCGGTCCTGATTCCTCTATATAGATCTTTATATCAGTAGAGGGGTCACCAGCAGGAGGAAGGAGGTCCCGGTTCCTCTATGTAGATTTTTAGTGAGACCTCATATAGAATACTTTGTCCAGTTCTGGAGATCTCACTTGATATTGATAATATAGAAGAAGTCCAGAGATGGATAACAAAAATGGTGAAAGGTCTGGGTGATAAAACATCGGGAGAGCCTTCAGGAAAGGGGAGACATGATGGAAACTTTTTAATACATCAAGAGGCTAAATAGGAGGACAGTATGAAGCCAAGATTGAGAACCCGAGGATGGCCTCAAACTAGGAGGAGCAAAGTTCAAAACCAATCTTAAAAAAGTATTATTTTACCGAAAGAGTAGTTGATGCGTGGAATGGACTTTCAGAAGGGGTACTGAGTCAGTCAACAGAGAGTAGATTTAAACATGCTTGAGGAAAACATAGATTTATACTCAGTCAAAAAAGTAAAAAAAAAAAGGGAGAACCTATTTGATGGACCACTTGGTCATTTTTGGATGAGCTTCAAGCTGGGAAGACACATAGAGACGTAGCCAAAGGATTTCCACAATAAAAACTGAAAAAAAATCTGTACAATATTTCACTCTCCAGGTTCTGAACTCTTTGTACATCTGATCCAGCCAATGCCTGCTATGGGTTGGCTGGTTTTGTCATGGAAAACGGTAATAGAAATGGTGCCCGTCTCTATTTAGCTCTATGGTAGAAACCGAGACGAAGGGCTCACTTCCTGTGACCTCGGTGTGACGGAAACCATTGGTACACAACTTTTGGAAAGAGGGCTGCAGTTCCTCCATTCTCCACAAGACGGTGACCACACTTATATGGAGCACATGCACAGACAGGAAGTGAGGTTTGGATGGTAACAGGAAGTTCTGGGTCAGAGGTCGGGAGGAAGTAGAGAGGAGCCATTGCTGGAACTGGCAGCAGAGGAGGTAATAAGATCTTATTTTATATTTACACCCAGTAACCCCCCGTCATGTCTGTCCTCTTCCTCCACCGTCACTGTGACATCCTTTATCTCCAGCAGATGATGATACACATATATAGAGTATAATGATGTATTAATTATATCTAACATATACCATAGTGCTGTACAAAGAGCATTGGGCCAATCACATCAGTCTCTGTACCAGAGGAGCTTACACTCTAATGTCCCCTCCCCCCCGCAGTCGCATCAGTCTCTGAACCAGAGAAGCTTACACTCTAATGTCCCCTCCCCCACAGTCCCATCAGTCTCTGTACCAGAGGAGCTTACACTCTAATGTCCCCTCCCCCACAGTCACATCAGTCTCTGCACCAGAGGGGCTTACATTCTAATGTCCCCTGCCCCCACAGTCACATCAGTCTCTACTAGAGGAGCTTACACTCTAATGTCCCCTCCCCCCACAGTCACATCAGTCTCTGAATCAGAGGAGCTTACACTCTGCACAACACACCCACACCCGGTGCTGAAAGCTTAACATGTCAATATTTTGTCCATCTATAGAGAGGAGCTTCCTGTACAGGTCACATGACTGCATGAATGAGAATGGACAAGCAGCAAAGTCACATGACTGAGAAGATCTTGGGCTTCACCCTGGAGATCATCTGCTTGCTGACCGGAGAGGTGAGGAGGATTCTGGGAGGTCACATGACATCACTCTTATCTCTATTAATAAAACACAGACCTGACCGGAGAGGTGAGGAGGATTCTGGGAGGTCACATGACATCACTCTTATCTCTATTAATAAAACACAGACCTGACCGGAGAGGTGAGGAGGATTCTGGGAGGTCACATGACGTCACTCTGATCTCATTAATAAAACACAGACCTGACCGGAGAGGTGAGGAGGATTCTGGGAGGTCACATGACATCACTCTCACCTCTATTAATAAAACACAGACCTGATCAGAGAGGTGAGGAGGATTCTGGGAGGTCACATGACGTCACTCTCACCTCTATTAATAAAACACAGACCTGACCGGAGAGGTGAGGAGGATTCTGTACCTACTAATAGATGTGATTGTTTTTAATAGGATTACGAAGTTGTGAAAAAGAATTCTAATGAAAAACTGACTCCAACTAGTTGTCTTCATGAGTCTTCTCCACCTCCTATCCTGACCCCTGAGAGCAACAAGATGCAGAGGATTATAGAAGTCATCCAGAAGATGATGGAGCTGCTGACCGGAGAGGTGAGCGGTGCCGGGAATTCTGGGACATTCTCCAGTAACAGACAAGGGATGTGTCTGGATGGTGACTGTATCATTGTGTGTCAGGTTCCTATAAGGTGTCAGGGTGGCACTGTCTATTTCTCCATGGAGGAGTGGGAGTATTTAGAAGGACACAAGGACCTCTACAAGGACGTCATGATGGACAATCAGCCGCCCCTCACATCACACCGGGTAAGAGGAGACTTTATTGGAAAGGAGAGAGCAGTACGGAGGGTTCACCTAGATCCCCCATCATATGATAAAATACATAGAAACAATAGATTCAGTCAGTGTGTGTGTTTCCTACAGATGGATCCAGTCATGGGAACCCACCAGAGAGATGTCCCCATCCTCTGTATTCCCGGGATTCCACACAGGAAGGTCACACCAGCCCTCACCATCATCAGGTTGATGGAGCCAGTACTGAGAAACCACCAGGGAGATGTCCCCATCCTCTGTATTCCCTGGATTCCACACAAGAAGGTCACACCAGTCCTCATCATGATCAGGTAGATGGATCCAGTAATGGGAACCCACCAGAGAGATGTCCCTGTCCTCTGTATTCCTGGGATTCCACACAGGAAGATCACACCATCCCTCACCATCATCAGGTAGATAGATCCAGTAATGGGAACCAACCAGAGAGCTGTCCCCATCCTCTCTATTCCCAGGATTCCACACAGGAAGGTCACACCACCCCTCACCCTCATCAGGTTGATGGAGCCAGTGATGGGAACCCACCAGAGAGATGTCCCCGTCCTCTGTATTCCCAGGATTCCACAGAAGATGACTCCATCCTTTACCATGATCAGGTAGATACAACCTCAAATCTTAGAGTGTATTCCTGGGTTATTAGCAATTATGTTTTCAAGGTGTTATTTCTATCATTCTTTGTGTTGAGGCATCACAACTGGTGAAGGTAAAAGTTGAGATTAAAGAGGAAGAAGGTGCGGGATCTGTGAGAGGGTGATCCTCGCTCTACAGAGGAATTTGGGATGATGGTGACAGTTAAAGAGGAGGAATCTTCTCTAGATGTTGGCACCGGTGAGTAATGCAGAAAGGTATTGCTTTGTTCCCTTTAGTCCAGCACGCCTAATGTATGCACATCCGTACAAAAAAATGGAAAATCAGACCTTGCATGGTTTCACTTTAGCCTTCTCACTTCTGGAAAAGGGCTCTGTTCACTCATGGTTGCATTCAGAGGAAGGTTTGAGGCCCCCTCGTCTGAACTATTTAGATACACCCAACTTAGACATTGGATTACTTCCACCTTTAGGCCATAAAGACATTTCTTCCACTTTGACATCTTTCGAACATACAACATGTGCCACCACACTCCCTTTAGTGCCCAAACAGATCTCCATAGTTTATTCTCTCCTTGACCACCGGTCTTCTCCCTACTCGGCACACTTATGTGGTGAAACAAGAGACCTAAAATCTAATAAAACAGGAAAAAAAATGGATGGATGTTTTAAATACGACTTCCGATTGTACCATCAATATCACTACCCATGAGTTGACATATAAAGTTCTATCCAGGTACATGGTCCCCTTCAGAGAGGGAGAGAAGGTTTCCACCATCTCTACTTTTGGCTTTGGTCACTCATGGTTGCATTCAGAGGAAGGTTCAAGGCCCCCTCCTCTGAACTATTTAGATACACCCAACTTAGACGTTGGATTACTTCACCTTTAGGCGATAAAGACCTTTCTTCTACTTTGACATCTTTCGAACGTACAGCATATGCCACCGCACTCCCTTTAGTGCCCAAACAGATTTCCATAATTTATTCTCTCCTTGACCACCAATCTTCTCCTACTGGGCACACTTATGTGGTGAACACAAGAGACCTAAAATCTAATAAAACAGAAAAAAAAAAAAAAAAATAGATGGATGTTTCAAATACGACTTCTGATTGAAGGTTCAAGGCCCCCTCGTCTGAACTATTGTCAGGGCGGGGCTGTGGAACGGACAGGTAGGCCTAGTGGCAGGGTAACGCACTGGCTGACGACAACCACCACCAACAGACCGAAGTCCCTCAGGGCGCGGAGTCTAAGTCCCAGGCTGCCTTTCACCAGGGCCCCTGATGGTGGGGATGGACTTGACGCAGCCAGGAACCAGGTCGCAGCCCTCGAGACACCCCGGCTGCGGTAATGGCCGCCGCCAATGGCGTGTAGCTGGTGAGAATGACAATAGCGTAGTCAGGCAAGCTGGGTCGACAACAACGGGACAAAACAGTACAGAACAGTAGACAGAGAATCACAGGTCACGGGCCGGGTTCAGCAACGGAAGGTCAGATCGAAGGAAAACACAGAGAATGGTCTTAATCACAAGCCGAGTCAGAATACCAGAAGAGTCACGAGCGTATACACAGAGCTGTAGGAAGACCAAGACACAAGACACAAGTGCAAAGAGCATGTGCGGGCCACAGGCTTATATGTCATCAGCCACACCCCTCTGGGGGATGGACCTCAGAGACCTGAAGGCATAAAAGGATTCCCACCATGCACAGCAGAATCCAAGATGGACACCAGCACATGGAGTAACAAAACCTCAGGGAAAAGGTAGGACCTTGACAACTATTTAGATACACCCAACTTAGACATTGCATTACTTCACCTTTAGGTGATAAAGACCTTTCTTCCACTTTTGACAACCCCTTCAGAGAGGGAGAGAGGGTTTCAGCCATCTCTACTTTTTAATCTGGTTAATGGGATCTTCCTGATAAGCCTTTTTCCTTTCAGGGTTTGATCAGGTTAATGTCAGGAATCAGCAGCGGGGACGGCCAAATCTGCATAGCTACACTCAGACCACATATATACGTAAAGTCAAATTTATTTACAGTAAAACCAGGGGTGTATGTACAGTGGTCGCAATTGTGGCCTGGCCCCATGCTCCAGGGGACCCGTGCAGCCCTTCTGTACCCGTGGATAGGAGGGATGACGGGTGGCACATAGAGGAACCAATGCCCTGTTTTCCCTTCAGCGGCTGCAGGGGGGAAATGAAAGGGATTGGTTCCTCTCCATGCTGGCTCGTCACCACTCCTATCCACCTCCTGCTGTGATTGGGCCCCTGTGTGCTCCCCTCACACCCTGCAGCATTGCTAGATTCCCCCGCTTCCCTCTCCTGTCAGCTGCTATGGGTAATCTGTCAGGATGGAGAGCTGGGAAGGGCCCTTCCTTGTCTTGAATAGTCAGTAATCGGTACCGATCGCTGACTCTATCCATTCATAACTGAGGCATAGTAAACTGTTTATTATGCTTCGGTATGTGAATGAAGGGGAAGCTTTTGTAAAAAGCTATTCCTGTCCATTCAATCTGTACAGCTAAGGCTGCAGATATGGAGAATGAGGGCCGCGTCCTCAATCGTCTTTCTCGTCTCAAAGGTAAAACATCATAGGTCTGTTTAGACCCCCGATATCTTACCAAAGACCCCAGCGGGGCTCCTAACAAATTGTAAAAAAATGAATAAAAAAATAAAATTGTATACAAGAAAAAAAAAAAAAAGAAAATGGTCAAAAATAATAAAAAAAACTACTGACACCAGTGGAGGAGCTACCAGGGTTCGTAAAGGTCGCACTTGCATCCAAGCCCTGTCGTTTCATCTCTGTGGAGAGACTGTGAGACAGCAGGAAAGGGGCCAACTGCAGATCACGTAAAAGGGTCCAGCAGCGGAACCGTAATAAAGGGCTCTGCGACAGAAGTAAAGGGCTCTGGCATCGATAGGAAGGGACCCTGGTTCAGGGGGGCTGTGACGGGAGTCACTTTGGGTGGGGGGGCCCATGGAACACAGCTCACTTCGGAGAGATGGGGAGACCCCTGTCTCAGCTCCCCATATCCCTCTTATGTGTAAGTCACCCTGTGCCTGTTAGGGGTACAGGGTGATCTGTCCTAATATTGGGGTGGGGGGTTGCTGAAGGCAGCAGGGTTCAGGGTATAGGTACAAGGCAAAGAGCACGATCAAAAACAGGAACAGCTAGTGGTATTGTCACATACCTGGTGATGGAGGCCAATGGAGAGAGGGCTTCCCTTGTGGCTAAGTTCCCGACTTCCCTGAGAATGGGACAGCAGGAGTCAGGCCCAAAGTGGCACAGGTTGCCTGTAGGAGTGCTCGTTGGTGATTCACCCAGGAGCACAGCTGATACACTGAGATGAGGTCTGCAGACAGGTGGTGCCTGTGTGAGGTATGCAAGCCCTTCTGGGGAACAGAGGATTACTGGATAGCCGGTTCAAAGCCAAGGTACGGTACCGGGTGGAGATCAGAGCAAACGTAGTCAGATGGGATAGCCGAGGTTATACACAGAGGAGTGAGAGGGAATATCCGTTAGCCAAGTCAAGCTCAGGTCAGGGTTTTAAGCAGAGAAGCCAGGTCCAGAAGCAAGCTGAGTCGGTATCAGGAAATCACAGTAGCACAGGAACAAGGTACTGGGGAGCCAGAGATCAACCAGCACCTGGGAGTAGTGCAGGGCTATCTTATAAAGGCCCTTTGGCGCCAAATTTGAGCCGCTGTGAACTTCTGCGGCCATGCAAGGTACTGGCAGGGGTGCCAGGTCTCCTAACACCTCTGCCGAGGACAGGTATCTTGGGAGCAAAGAAAAACACTGGAATAAAGGGGAAATGTAGAGGAGGCACTAAATACCCTCCCAGTAGCCATCATCAGCTGGAACTGATTACTGGAATCTGTGACACCCACTGTTGGAAACCAGAACTACGACCTTCTGCTCTGGGAAACACAACAGCTGATCCAGGTCCAGACCGGTAGGGATTTTTCTTTGTGAGCTTTAAAGCTATAAAGCTTTTTCGACTATCTCAAAGGATTCCTTGCCATTCTGCTAGGAATTTATTCTCAACACAAGAACCTGATCAGCAGCTTGAAACTCTCTGACCTTGGTGGACTGGTTGTACAACCGACTTTTGACTGGTGGTATTTTTTTCCTCTGGAGTCCAGACTTACAAAACAGCTCTCTCTCTTCACACTCACTTCTTCTGTCCCTCAGCTAGGGAGGTCTTTGGAGGAAGTCTCTTCCCTCCCGAATTAACCTCAGGTCAGCCTTGCCCCAGGATGACTCTGCACAGCTTTTACTCGTTTCTATTTTATATTGCTGTTACGATTCTGCCGGAGCTTTGAGAAAACAACCAACAAGTATCGTTGGTTGCAAAAAAAAGAACAATTTTTTTGTGTTCACAAAATACTTCTTTTCAGCAGGTGGACCCAATGTGAAGACCCCGGAGAGACATCAGGTTCTGCCTCTGGACTATAATGTAGAAGACAATGACGTTGTCGAATTTTCTCCAGAAGCAAACATCGATACTCAAACGATACATCCTAAACCTTACTTTGTGGACAGGTCAATGGATTCCTCTAAACCTAAAGATTTGTTCGACGAGTCATGCGCTGTTTCCAATGAAATCCATCCAGGACTTCACATCGAAGACAGGTCCTTGGATCCATGGAGGTCCTCTTCCAGTAATTTAGATCCTTCACACAAAGATGATAAAATAATCCTGTGGTCTGAAGTCAATGAAGGTTTTACATCGCAGTCGCCTCTTACTGAAAGGACAAATGTAGGGGAGCGTCCGTATCAGTGTTCGGAGTGCGGGAAAGGTTTCAATTGGAAAGGACACCTTCTCAGGCACATGAAATGTCACACCGATGAGCGTCCTTACTCATGTTCAGAGTGCGAAAAATGTTTCAAACACCGAGCAGACCTTCTTAGGCA